AGTGGGTTTCATTCTGAGGCCTCTTCTCTCGCTTGGCTTATTGGCCGCGGTCCTGGTGCTGTGTGCCGACATGCCGTTTCCTGGGGAAAGGCATGTGCTGGAGGCAGAGGGCAGTAGGGGGAGAGGGCTCTCTGATGTCGCTTATAAGGACACTAATCCTATTGGATCAGGGACCCATCCCTATGAACTTACTTTAATTACTTCCTTAGAGTCCCCATTTCCAAATACAACCACACTGGGAGTTAGGGTTTCAACACAGGAATTTGGGGGCAGGCACATTTATTCTGTAACATACACACAATAAATCTGTTTTAGCATTTTTTTAACAAGGAGAAATTATTTTCCAAACTGAACACACTTTTTGCTCCCACCATCTATAAGGATTCCAATTTCTCTGCATTGTAGCTCGTACTTTTCAATTATAGCCATTCTAGTGGATATAAAGTTGCATCTCCTTGTAGTTTTGATTTGCATTTCACTACTGATTTCAGCTTAAGTCATGTGCTTTGATGCTCTTGGCTGAAATGTCCATTTCACATCTTTTGTCCATTTTTAAACTGGATTATTGGTCTTATTACACTGTAAGATTTCTTTATATCCTCTGGGTACATCCCCTTTGTCAGATAGGATTTGCACATATTCTTTTCCAGTCTACACCTTGTCTTCACTTTCTTGATGGCATCTGTTGAAGTGTGAAAATTTAAGTTTTGATTAAGTCCAATTTATTTCATTTTTGTCTTGCTGCATGAACTTTTGCTGTCCTAAGAAACTACTGCTCAATCCAAGATCATGAAGATTTATTCCCATGTTTTCTTGATCATTTCAGGATTTTGGCTTTTTTCTTATTGACTGTATTTTCTCCCCTTTCTGCTTGTCTGGTAATATTTTGTTGGATGCCATATTTTCTGAAGTTTACCTTGTTAGGTTCTGCATAATTTTGGATTTCTAAAAATATTCATGCACTTTGTTCTGGCATGTAGTTAACTGGCTTGGAAGCTTGGAACAGTTTGATCCTTTTGTCTTGCTTTTTATCTTTGTTAGGTAGGAGCAGGGCAGCATTTAGTCTGGAATGAACTCTCCCCACTCCTAAGGCAAGGCCCTTTTAGTACCCTTACAGACACCCTGTGAATCGAGGGGTTCCACTCTGGCTGTTGGGAACAGGCACCCTGGCCTCAAGTAGTTACCTCAGTAGGATGCACCGATCAGTCTGCCGAATGCTAGAGGGCCTCTCCGGGCCTCTGCTCTGTAGACTCCAACCACCTTGGCTTCCTGACTCCCAGTCACCTCCTCGACTAAAGTGCCCATGGGCTCTATCTGGGTGTACCCTTCCTGCCTGGAAACAGTCACCAAGTGAACCGGGGCAGTCTTAGAACTCACGTCATTTGTTTCCCACGCTCAGGTGTCATTGTCCTTCACTGCCTGAGGTCTACTTTCTTGAGAGCCTTTGCTATATTCTGTCTGGTTTTTTAGTTGTTTCAGGGGGGAGGTAAAACGTAGTTCCTGCTATTCTTTCTTGGCTGAAAACAAAATCATTTTTAGCTTAACATTTTGTCCCTTTATGCACCTACCCAGATGACACATTTTTGTTGAATATGTATTTTTTTTTTTGATTGGGCCACTAGTTTGAGTTTTCAAATTGATGTTTGTTTTTCCATTTTATTGTTTTAGCTTTTTTCCTTTTGTTCCTTGTTGCTTCCTTAGTGTTTTTATTCCTTGTTAATATAGTAATTTTTATAGCTTTTATTTGTACAGGTCTAGGTCTCTGGGCAACTCTTTGGCATCAGTCCCTCTAGTAGGTGTTTGCAGATGTATTTTGTAAGCCACTGGGGCCATGTTCGCTTCAGTCCACATGTGTCACTGACTTTGGAATTCCATCCTGAGTGCTTTAAGGTCTGCGGTGCTTTCTAGTGTGCTGACCAGTTTTTCCAGTTTCTTTACTTTCAAATCTTGGGGCAAACCCAGGAGTCCTTGTCAGCCTCTTTGAAAAGCATTTCAATAAAGCGCTTCGTGCTATTTTTTAAATCTTTACATAATTTAGTAGTTATCAGCTATTACAATTATTTTCCTAGACCAGTTTTATAAAATCAGTTTTTGTTCTTATAAATTAGCAGCTACCCATGGCAGCTAATTGAGAAAATAGTTATATAGAACCTCACAACTCTAAGTTACTTTGAATAGTGTTTTAATGTATTTCCTCCCCCTCCTTCATATATATAAATATCTACAGAACTCAGAGGGACATTAAAAATGCTTAAAAATGGGGCACCTGGGGGGCTCAATCTGTTAAGCACCTGACTTTGGCTCAGGTCATGATCTCAGGGTTTGAGTTTGAGCCCTGCATCGGGCTCTCTGTCAGCATGGAGCCTGCTTGGGAGTCTCTGTCTCACCCCCTGCCTCTCTTTCCCTCCCCTGTTTGCACTCTCAAAAAAAATTTTTTTTATGTGTTTAAAAAGAGGTGGACAGCAGTCCTGAAGTCGGGACCAGGGCCCCTTACGCAAGGGCTGTCTACCACCTTCTGTAAGAGCAGATAGATGCACACAGGCTGAAATAAACTTTTTTTAAAAAAATTTTTTAATGTTTATTTAGAGAGAGAGAGTGAAACAGAGCTTGAGTGGGGGAGGGCCAGAGAGAGGGAGACACAGAATCTGAAGCAGGCTCCAGGCTCTGAGCTGTCAGCACAGAGCCCGACGAGGGGCTCGAATCACGAACCATGAGAATGTGACCTGAGCCGAAGTTGGACGCCCAACTGACTGAGCCACCCAGGCGCCCCTGAAAAACTTTTCATTGGGAAATTTTTGTTATTGTTCAAAAACAATTTAACAGCTGCATACTTTGCATTATGGCTATATAATGATGTATCGGATCTTTGTACGCTTAGGTTAACAACCTATTTTTAACTTTTACAAATATTGATGAACAACATTGTACATAAGTCTGTTTCACACTTCTCATTGGGTTAAATTGTAGAAATTAAGGTGCTTGCGAGATGATGTCCAGTTCTCCAATATGGTTATACCAAGTTATACAGACACAGATAGATACTATCTGTGAATTGTAACATTTGTCCTTTTTAACATTGGGTTTAAGTGTGTTTATCAGCTTCTATAAATACTACTAAGGATTTTAACACTTCTTAGTGTTCTATACCTTTCCGATTTCACAGAGAACTCACTGTGTCAGAATTAACTTGATAGTATAGTATAGAAACTTGTTTTTCAATACATACAGATGGATTGATGGGAAAAATATACAGATTATCTTACAGCTGAAACATACCGTGATACTGTTAAATTTAGGATACAAAAATATTTCCTAAAAAGTTAACTTTGGCTAAAACAGATCTATAATCTGTATGTTGAAATGAAGCCCCCTATCTTAGAGATCAGGCTGATTCCAAATACAGTACTAGACATCTTAGTCACTTTAAGTCTTTCAGAAAAGGAGAGCAATAGTTGCTTAAGAATTACACAGAGCCAGGAACCATACTGATCTGGTTTTGACCTAGTGTATGTTGACCTGTCTTCTCCAGACCTGTCTCCTTCGGAACATGGGAGCATGATCCATGGGAGCAGGACTACTCTGTGGTCCATTTTTTAAAAACCAGCTCTTAAAAATGTAGTGTTTAGCTACATCCTTGTATCACTGGGAACACTTATCCTTTTAGGTGGGTAGTTATAAGACAATACTAGAACAATTAAGTTGCCATAGACTGTCTCATGAGCATTTAATCTCCTTCTCAGGTGCCATTAAAGACCAAGAAAATAGTTGTTTTCCCCCGTTACAAGCCTTCTCAATTTATGGTAATTTCACTCTCCAAGTAAGGTTTCCTGACTTTAAGATTTTAAGTGGAGGGGTACCTTTGGTGCCTCACTCGATTGGGCACCCGACTCCTGATTTTGGCTCAGGAAGTGATCTCACACTTTGTGGGACTGAGCTCCATGTGGGGCTGTAGGCTGAGCAGGGAGCCTGATTTCCTTTCTCTCCTTTGGCCCCTCTCCCTCCTTGCTCACTAAAAAATAAAAATAAGAAAGTAAGTGAATTGGGCTCATTATATTGCTAATGCAACATGCTTTAAAAAAAAAGTGCATTTGTTGAAGTTGATCTAATCCACATTCCCCTCAAGTATCTGTCACCCAGCAGTGTGCACTTAGCCGACTCAGGCTGCTATGACAAATACTAGAGGCTGGGTGACTTAGCAAGACATTTCGCACAGTTCTGGAGACTGGGATGTCCAAGGTCAGCGTGCCAGCAGATTTGGTTCTTGGAAAGGGCCCACTTCCGGGGTTGCAGACAGTCTCTCCTCCTCAGTACACACTCAGGAGCCTTTCCACAGGCTGTCCATGCATGAAGAAGGAAAGTGAGAAGCTGGTCTTCCTCTTCTTACAAAGATACTAATCCCATCTTATATCCCATCTCCAAATACCATGACATTGGGGCCAGCGCTTCAAATTAGGAACTTTGGAGGACACAGCCCATGACATGTACCAAGCAGATATCAGTAAAAACTAGAAAATGACTTTTTATTAAATCAGCCAACTCATGATCTACTTTTTGCAGAGCATACAGTTTGCAAACCTGGCTGATGAACAGAATCACATACAGAACTTAAAGTGAAAATTAAATTACTGGGTCCCACCTTTAGGGATTCAGTAGATCTGGAATGGGATACAAAGCTGTATTTTTTTTTTTAAAAAAAGCTTTCCAGATGATGCTAATGTTCAGCCAAGTTTAAGAAACACTGTTACAGGCATTGTGGCCTTATTTGGGGAACACAGATCAATATTCTCAACCTTAAAGTCTGGCATTAGTTGAAGGGTGGTAAATTGTTCAGATTACGCTAAGAATAAAGGGCCTTTTTCTTAGAAGAGGGACACATTATTTGCAGCTCCACCAATTGAAACTACAGCTACATGCTACAAATTGGATTTTAAATTAAAAGCACAAATTGATTCCCTTTGCATTCTGTGTTTCCCATACATCTGTTGTGTTTTTCCCCACAGAGGAGGAAGATGACCTCTTTGATGATCCTGTGCCGTTACCGCTAAGGCACAAGGTTCCATACCAGCTAACTCTTCACCCTGACGTGTATCTGATGACTGCAGCTTCCCCAAGCAAGCCTGAACAAGAGAGACAAAGCACAGGGTACAAAGAGAGTATGCACCCCTTTCCTTTGGCAAACTTTATAGAATGTGAAGAATCCAACAGCGAAGGTGAAGAAGAATTACAAACCCCAGCTTCATCTCAAGAAGACCTGGGTGCTCTCACACATCACCAGCAAAAGGCTGATGTAGAAGTACCACAGTGGGAAGTGTTCTTTAAAAGAAATGATGAAATCACAGATGACAGTTTGGAAAACCTCCCTTCTTCCACAGAGGCAGGGGGCTCTCAGTCGCCAAAGATTTTTAGTGACTCTGATGGAGAGTCAACTCACATCTCTTCCCAGAATTCTTCTCAGTCAACACACATATCCGAACAAGGGAGTCAAGGCTGGGACAGCCAATCGGACACTGTTTTGTTATCATCCCAAGAGAGAAACAGTGGGGATATTACCTTCTTGAACAAAGGTAGCTATAGACCAAGAATCAAAGAGAATATTCCTGCCTCTCAGATGGAACAAAATGTACTTTGCCCAAAGGATACTTATTCTGACTTGAAAAGCAGAAATCAAGATGCAAATATGGCTCCTAGTGTTGGAGAAATAACCACTCGAAGCAGTGGGAAACACATACCTGAGGAAAAAAGGCTACTAAATTTTAGCACCAATGCAGATTCCCAGAGCTCCTCTGATTTTGAAATTCCCTCCACACCAGAAGCTGAGCTACCTAAAGGAGAGCATTTACAGTATTTATATGAGAAGCTGGCAACAGGGGAGAATATAGTCACTGAAAAAAGAAAAAGCTCATTCTCAGATACTTAAAAATGAAAAACCTTGCATTCTAGAGCAACCAGTAGAAAACCTACACAAAGAGGTAATGGTCAGAATCATAATGGACACGTCAGAATGGAATATTTAAAAATGTTCATGTAACCTAAAACAAGGCAGTAAAGGGGAAAAAGAACAAAAAATAGAGGTAAAAAGCAGAAAATAAGGTAGAACTAAATCCAAACATCAATAATTACATTAAGTGAAAGTGGTCAACACACACCAGAAAAAACCCAGGGAAAGAAACAGAACGTTTTTATATGCTGTCTCTAAGAAACTCAATTCAAATGATGCAGGCAGGTTAAACGTAAAGCCTGGAAAAATATATCTAAATACTTCCACTACTTAAAGCTGGAACGACTATATTACCATCAGACAAATTTCTCACAAAAGGTCCAGTTCACTAAGAAGACACAGTCCTACATGTGTATGTTGCTGCAACAGCTTCAAAAGAGAGAAAGCAAAACCAAAGGAGAAACACTAATGCACAGTCGAGCTGGGAACTCTACCTGTTCCTCTATCGGTAATAGAATTAGCACACAGGAAGTGAGCAAGGCTATGGAAGAACTCCATGGCACCATTAACCAACTGCAACTGACACAGAACATTCCACCCAACGGAGAATGTTCTCAAGCGCCATGGCACATTCACCCTGATAGATGGCTGCATCCTGGGTCATAAAAACTCTTAAAAACAATCAGCCCCTTATTTATCTCAAAAGGTCACTTCTGAATGCTGGTTTGAACACAAAGGTAAAATGAAAAGGAGAGAAATTAGGACCCAAAAGAAAAGAATGAAATGGCAAAAGTGTGTGTTCTAGTTGTTGGATTTCCTTAAAGTCTGTCAATGGATTATGTTTTTATACAGCTATATATGTGGTTTAATAAAGTTCTATTAACAAATATTCATCAACACTTTGGGTATGCTGACATTTTATAGATTAAGGAAGCAAAGGCACAGATTTTCCTTAAAACAAATTTAAGTTGGAGTCTCTAAATCAATTTGCAGGTCAATTAAACCAACAATGATATGCATTATCACCCTGCTGCACTGACCCCTTCTTTCTAACGCCACAGATACTCCCAGTTTTTGATTAAGCATTCTCCAGACTGTGTGTGACTGGGGTAGAAATACAGTTATCCCATTTTACCCATCTCTCCTACGAGTTCTACAGCCTGAAAGCAAAGTGAATATAAAATCACTAAAGAGACCAGTAGAGATTACAGATCACGGAGTTTCCAGTCGTAACTACAACAGGCCTAATACACAACAGAGACTTCATTTTTAATCTGTAGTTCTAAAAATTAGTTACACTTCATTAGTAAGTCATGTAATCAAATAAAACTAATTTCACTGACACTAAAGACCTCATCTTAATAGTATAGCTTATAATCCAAGGTGGGGACTCAATACATGCCTGTAAACATCCTTCTGAATATATTAGCACTGTATAATCACATCATCCGTTTAATATTACATACTGCCATATTTTGTTTTAGGAGAACCTGGCACAATAAATGCAGGTGAATGAATTTAAGGGCTAAGAGCACTAGAACAGACTTCTGATTAAAAAAAAAAAAAAACTTGCAGGGATCACCAAAGACTACAAAAGTACAGGTTTACAGTACAGAATTACAGCAGATACTTACATGTGGTGCTTACTCTGTGATGATAGTTCTTTTACACACTGGATATTAACTCCTTCAATGCTCATCACCACCTTTTGAGGCAGGTTAAGTTTATTCTTCCCACTCACAAATGAGGAGGCTGAGGCACAGAGAGGTTAGTTCACATAGCTGAGAAGGAGTGAAGTCAGGACTGAAAATACAGGCAATTCAAGCTCGAGAGTCCATGCTCTTAGCCACTATGCAATAATGCCTCTCAAAAAGAGCACAGGTAGGGGTAGGCTACTACAGGTAGGGGTAGTGGCACAGGTAGGGGTAGTGGCTACTCGATTTTTACTCTAAGAACTGTAAAGTATAAAGGAAAAAGTGAAAACAAGTTTCAAAATGCCAAGATACATGACAGAAGAAATGCAGCAGCTAGCCACATTTGCCCGAGAGAGGAATCCAAGACTTACAGTTTGTTTAAACTAGCAGTACGAAATAGAGTCCAGTATAAATAGGTGGTTTACTGCCCCCGAGCCATGTGATCTTGGGTATGTTCATGTTACCTAACCAGTCCTGACCCCTTCCCTTTGCTGCGCTGTAGGGCTGGCAGCACCGGCCTCATGGGTTTATGAGACGCACAGGAACGCAGATAAAGGGCCTGAGACTTGCTCCAAGAATAGGAGCTTTAAGTCTAACATTCCCCTGTGGTTCCAGGCAGTGTTTACTTATTTAGCATAATGTGTTTAAGTAACCTGGTGACTCATAATGCTCAAAATATTTTAGAAGTATCCATCCACATTATGCTATGTAAAATTCTTTAATATTCAAATGGACCAACCATGACAATGATAAACTTTCTTAAAAGGCAAGTAACATTTAAAGTGATGGTATAACAACCTTTGGTTAATCTCAAAAGCAAGTAGTCAGGAATACATTGGTTATCTTTTTGCCCCTTTTGTAGCTTACTGGTAAGGAAAATAAAATATTCAATAACAAAGCTAAACCACCATAAATAGAAAATCAAATGCCAAACTAAATTTATTTTGCTAAAGAAAATTGAACTGTAAAAAAAAAAAAAAAAAAGTGCAGTCTAGATTTTGCACATATGGGGGAAAAAACCCTGAGATTACAACTGTATCACGATCCTCAAGTAGATCTTGAAAACAATGGTATTAATACAACTTGCAGAGTAGATTAACTTACGGTTTAAACTTCATGTAAACATGGCCGTTGAACATAGGCTTCATATTGAGAGAACAAATTCTGACAGCTTGAGAAACCAAAGAAGCTAAATGTTGACTTAAAATGGTTAAAAGCTCCTAACAGCCTCATGTAGAGAGTTTCTATTTTACTGATTAAGTTCAGCTTTGTAATCAAACAAGGGTAACACAGGTAACTAAAATCTCAAAGACCCATTAAATGTCTATTACTAAGGACAGTACAAAACAAGTTTTGTGAAAATAGCCATTCTTCCCTTTGCTGTCCTGTTTTACATTTTTTTACCACAAAAAGACAAGATCAAAAAACTGGACAGTAAAACATTAACTTTTTAAGAATATTAGTTACATTTTTTAAACCTGTGAGAATCAGAATTCAAAGTAAGCTTGGCCATTGGGAGCACCTGTAAATCTGTGATGCTTTCTCACCACTGACACCATGTGACTATTTCCTCATAAAGAAAACATAAGAAACGGCACTAAGAAATGTATTTTTCCATGACACCTTCTGCAGATTTTGGTTAATACGCTGTGAGACTCCAAACATGTAAAGAATTTATCCCATATTATGAAAGAGCAAATCATGTGGTAGCAATATAATGCATAATAAAGTGTAGCTTCTCCCAAAAAAGAGGTTAAGGATTAAGAAGGTATTTGAAGTGCTGGATTCTTGCCATCAGTGCAATTTTACTCAAACTTATTTTAGGTCAGTAAAGCAATGGGGCAATCAGCTTAGGTAAAATTTAATTAGGAATACTGAAAGCTAGATTTACTTGCTGCATTTACCTTCATGTTGGACACCATGATTACAAATCCCAAAATCACAGAGATGAAAACATAGTTGTTCCCAACTGAGGTTTTACTATGCAGAAAAACAGAAACAAAAACCAAACTGTATTCCATTTCAGTGTTCATGGTTCAAGTAAAAATGTTCTCATAATTCAGATACACACTTTGGCCAAGCCAAGTTTAGCTTTATCACATTTAAAAAATTCATGTATAAAAAATAAGTATCAGTTCAAAATATAGATTATTTCAAGAAGAGCTTGCGGGGAATATAAAAATAATTAAATTTGGTGGAAATGTTAAAACCGCCTGAAATTCAGAAGATGTAATATTCGTGTATTGTATGAAACACTGTTAGGTGCAGATGCACTCAGGAGTATCTTGTTTTACTGTTTCTGTTCAGACCAGGTATGCAACATGGACCTCTTAATTTGTGTTATTAAGAGGGGCCCTGAAAGTGCTCCATTTCCCCACTTCCAAGAAACCCTCCCGGTCCCAGTGCCCCACCCTTTCAAAGCAGCATAATGGCCATCCGTTCCAGAATTTTAGAGCTTTTTGGAAATTATTCTTTTACAAGGTTAAAAATCTTTTAAGAATTACTGATTCAGACATACATGCCTCATAACAGTCTGGATTGCTTCAAAATATGAAATCAAGCTGTAATTAAACCTGTTTACATTGAATTTTAGACCTTAAATTTCTGTATCATTAAGATCCCAGTATTTTAATGAAAGTAGAAAATAGAGTATAATTCCATATCACCTATTTTTCTTAAATACAAGTACAGTGAGTAATTAACGGGAATGACAACATAACAAAAATAGCACTTGTATGTATTTGCCCAAATTAACTCTTTCTCTAAATTCAAGGTATATGGCAGGTTGAATATTTGATCTTAGTGATGGTTACGTTATCAGTTTAACGCTTAAACACTGAAGGAGGCATTTCTCTATTCACACAGACTTCTTATGTATGTATATGCTGATCTGTCAGTCTTCCTTTCATGTTTGGTGTCTAATCACTAAATACGTGTATTTTAAATTAGTCTCTGTGACCCTGTGTTCTCTTCAGAAGCATCAGTAATGCATTTGGCCAATAGTTTGAAATATGAATTGTAAATTAACATAGTATATAATCCTGATAATATGAAAAGAGTCCCAAATACTTTTTTTAAAGGTTAACATTAGAAAAAAACAAACTACAATCATCAGCTGTTTCCTGAAAATTCAGTTGAGGTAACCTCTGCAAGTCACAGCTCCACACTTGCACACAGTTCTGACCCTCTTTTTGGCTGGGCTGTGGTCAACAGAATCTGAAGATACATCTCCAGAACCTGAGTACACAGAAAAAGAAATACACAAGAAAAAGTTAAGACCATTCAGAATGAAGTTCAAATCTCTTATTAGTTTTAAATCAATGTGAATGTTCAGAGACAAATTATGAATTATCGTGAAAGGATGGTGTGGAGCTAGTAAGAGATAAAAGCATATGCTATTAGCCATACTTCCAAGAACAGCTTTGCGAAATGATGAAACTTAGTGGGAAAATCAGATACACATTCAATTTCATACATTATTTAAGGGCCATAAAGTCAGGCCAAATAGTAACAAACTATAATTAACACTTAGAAAAACAAAGGAAAGAAAAAAACATATGGTCCCAACAAAGCAAATACAATTGATGTGTTTTTTTAAAAAAACCAAATCCAAGTAGGAATGGAATAAGTTCAGATGTGATTTAAATATTTTCAATCCTCTGAATATACATCTCTTTAAATTTTTTAATGTTTATTTATTTTTTAGAGAGAGACAGAGTGTGAGCAGGGGAAGGGCAGAGAGAGAGGAAGACACAGAATCTGAAGCAGGCTCCAGGCTCTGAGCAGTCAGCACAGAGCCCGAAGCGGGGCTTGAACCCACAAACCGTGAGATCATGACCTAAGCAGGCTGGACACTTAAAAGAGCCACCCGGGCGCCCTGAATATACATCTCTTGGTAAATTTTCAGGAATGTATGCCTTACAATTTTAAAATACAAGTAGTATTGAGAAAAAATGTAGAACAAACTTTGATAATGGAAATTATGAAAAAAAGCAGGTGACAGCATGATGCTGAGAAAAGAGCATTACTCAGCTCAAGGTCAGGCAGATTTTAGTTTTACCTCTGGCAGAGTAGCTTTGTGACCTGGAGTAAAAAGACCAACTGTTATAGCCTCATTTTTTTTCTTCTTTAATATTGTTTGGTTCAGATGATCTAAGGTCTCTTCCTACTCTGATTACAGTCTTCATATGCAAATAACTGAAATCAATCAAACCTTACTTGAAAACCATACCTTTCATCTGATAATCAAAAGTGAGCTCTTCTCCAGCATTTATGGTTCTTGTGGAAAACAATGCTATTCGGGGAAGACGGGTGTCGAGATTATCAATGAAAACATTAAACACCTGAAGATTTGGGTCGCACTAAAAAGGAACATTAGAACCCATTTAAGTAAAAATGTAATGGACAGGCTCTTCTACATGCCATATGAAATATTTAATTCCCCAAACTATTATTTTTTAAGTTTCATTGGAAATTAAGTTGTTTACTGTTTAGAGGTCTCTGAGGCATTCAAATTTAAAAATAGTATTTTCATTTACAGAAAATCTCAGACATACATTAACACTAGAAAAAATAATAAATCCACATACATTTACCCTGCAGTTCAACAATTAACATTTTCACCAATCCCATTTCATCTATCTCAACTTTTTAATTTTTCTGGAGAATTATAATGCAAGTTTTATATAACATTATCATTTCACCTGTACATAGTTCAGTAAGGCATAAAGAAAGAGAACAACTGTATTTAAAAAATCAAATTAGCATTATACAACTCAAATTTCATACTGCATGGAGGTTTCATTGCCATAACTTCTGATTGGTTTTAATATTTTGAGATTTCTACATTAAGTTCTGGACTATGCAAGAAGAAAGAGCTAAGAAACCAAAATCATTGTTTTAAGTGCCCTCGAATAGAATACATCTATTTTGAGAGTATTTCAAATTTATCACTAAGAAAAAAATTAAAGTAAAAGTTTAAATCAGAAAACTAACAAGGAGTCAGAAGGTCTCTGACATTTCACTACTCAACATAAACTAGTTTCTTGGAATAAAACCCATCAAAAGCTTAGCATAGTCTACACTTCCTTATATGGTCAGGTATATAATACTCTCTGGAGACACATTTTCCTTGTAATCTGTAAGATGGAGGAAACATCAATCTCACAAGCCTAATACTATTGTATTTAGAGTACAATTTAGAATTGTATTTTAGAATTTTAATTTACAATTGTAATTTAGGAAAATGGCTCTCAATACTTCAATACTCTATGAATTCTTAAATTCTGTAAATATGTTAACATATTTACATTTTAAGAAAATATAGCTATGTTTAGCTGCATATCCTAAAATTCAGCTGTTACCTTCCGTAAGAAACCTCTACAGTTGTATTTAATTCTTAACCTTGCTACCTCTTAATTCCTCTTCTACAAGAAGATAATACCTAAAGAGTTCTGGAAAGATTAAATGAACGTATGTAAAAACTCTTGCAAAATGCATGGTATTTGGTAGGCACCTCAATGGATTTTCCTAATATGGTAATAATACAATAATCTAACCAAAGAGGTCTCTGTATTACAATACTTTGGAAATATTAAAAGGCTAAGTCATTTAAAGATAATTATTCCTCAACTATGGAAAATCATTAAAAACAGTGTAATCACACTTACACTGTGATTCACAAAATGAGAGACATTTCCATATCGGGCTGCATCCACTGTGAATTCATCAGATTCATAATCCAGATCAAAGAGATATGTGATTCCTTTGTTGTCATATAACTGCCCCCGTCTTTCAGCTTCTTCACTGGTGATTACCTAAAAAGAAAAAACTATAGTATATTATATAGCTATTGTTGAACTAAAGAAACACTCATCCATAAAACTATTATTATTGTTTTAGTGCCTCCAGAGGTTTAAAAAGTAACAAGTCAATGTGTCATCAAAACATTCACATAAACTACTCTACACACAGAAGCAAAGACATGGGAAGCTAAGGGGAGATATGAGTGCAGGACAATCATGGCTGCTTAGGAATCAGGACAGCCCACAATCAACAAGGGGAGACAGTACTACGTTTATTCTCATTTATTCACATGTTCAAAAAGCTACCCAAGGGGCGCCTGGGTGGTGCAGTCGGTTAAGCGTCCGACTTCAGCCAGGTCACGATCTCGCAGTCCGGGAGTTCGAGCCCCGCGTCGGGCTCTGGGCTGATGGCTCAGAGCCTGGAGCCTGTTTCCGATTCTGTGTCTCTCTCTCTCTCTGCCCCTCCCCCGTTCATGCTCTGTCTCTCTCTGTCCCAAAAATAAATAAACGTTGAAAAAAAAAAAAAAATTAAAAAAAAAAAAAAAAAAGCTACCCAAATATAGCTTTCTATAGGACCTACCTGGAATGTAAAGGAAGAAATTTACAGTAAAAATGCTCTAAAAACTTATTTTTCCTGTAACTCATCTATGCAGTTAGTTACAAGGTGGAAATTTGTTACAAATACAGGAAAGAAGGTACGTTAAATTTGCAGTCAATTGTATGCAAAGTTTAGTTTTGCAGACCAGGTTGTTTTCATGAAATTCTGTGGATCAAAACCATCCTCTGCAGTTCTAAGAACACAGCTTTACCAGATGCTCAGCTTAAGAAACCAAAAATGTCTAAAGCAATTCATGGTGTCAACCAGATATAAATAACTACTGCATTCAGTAAGTCAAAACAGAGAAGAGTTTGATCATACAAGATCTAGTATCCTGAACAGTGATTTATAATAATCTGCTATTGTCTAAAAATTTAAGGATCAAAACAGGGCTCCAATTTAATCTCAGAATTCTAGATGAATACAGATAATTATATGTGGCCTAATTCCATAGAACTTTTGCATTTTTCAAAATGTTTACTCACTTTTTGAGAGAGAGACAGAGCACAAGCAGGGGAAAGGGAGAGACAGAGAGAGGGAGACAAAGAATCTGAAGCAGGATCCAGGCTATCAGCACAGAGCCCAACAAGGGGCTTGAACCCACGAACCGCGAGATTACGACCTGAGCCCAAGTGAGATAGATGCTTAACCGACTGAGCCACCCAGGCGCCCCTCCACATAACTTCTAAAATGTTAGATTTGACAGCCCAAGATATGCGGTCACACTTGTATTTTTCTAGTCACAGATTAATATACCACTCAGTTTGAGGAAGTGTAGTACAGCAGCAAAGTGCACTCATTTTGGAGCCTTGGTTTTGAATCCTGGCCCCTCTTCACTACAATGGGACCTTGCTGAATTTTTCTGTGCCTGTTTCCTCAATGATAAAGAATGGACCTAACACTGCTACCTCAGAGTTACTCAAGGATTAATGAGTTAGCACATAAGGTACTTAGAATAGTATGTGGTACATGGTAAATACTATTTTTTGTATATATATGTTATATGTAGAAAAATAAATTTGCTCGGGGGCAAATGTGTCGCTCATTCAGTTGAGCATCCTGATTTCAGCTTGGGTCATGATCTCAGGGTTGTGGGATCGAGCCCCACATCGGACTCTGCTCTGAGCATGGAGCCTGTTTGGTTTCTCTCTCTCTCTCTCTCCCTCGCTTGCACTCTCTAAAAAATAAAAGTTAAAAAATAAATAAATACATAAATTTGCACAGTCAATGGTAATTTAGAGACAGTCTCTAGCTGAGCTACAAAGAATTTGGATTTTTTTCATGGATGCAATAAATGGTTTTATGTATTGCATTTTCTAACACTTGCTCAGAAAGCATGCCTACTCTATAGTACTTCTCATGTTGATACAGTAATTGAGTTCTGCCAACTACAGTTAACCATATTTAATCAAATGGATGAATTACAATCTAAAGGTTCCAAAGTCAGCATGCGTTTAGATCTGATTTTCTTCTTAGAACTTTTATGTCATTCTTCACTCACATGAGGAAGGGAAGCAAAAATAATATACAAACAGGGCAGGGGACAAAAACATGAGACTCTTAAATATGGAGAACAGAGGGTTACTGGAGGGGTGTCGAGAGGGTGGATGGACTAAAGGGGTAAGGGGCATTAAGGAATCTACTCCTGAAATCACTGTTGCACTATATGCTAACTAACCTGAATGTAAGGTAAAAAAACACATTAAACAAAAATTAACAAAAAAGAACGTTTACGTCATAATAGCTGCCATATTTTACAAATGCCAGTTTCAATGACTATAAATGGGTGTTTGTTGAAAACAGGACTATTTCATTTATAATTATATGTATTTTTTTGTTCATATACAAGTTTATATTTCTAACTATGCCCGTGAAACCTTTTTCCCAAGCCAGAAATTTCTACATACTTGCAAACGATAATATAAATATGTACCAATATCTGTTACTGCTGTACAATGTTAACTTTTCAAAAAGCATAAACCTCCCACACACATTATTTGTTATATGTTGAACATACCTCCCCAACATATTCCATGACAAAACTCATTCTTTTAATCTTCACAAGGGTTTTTACACCCCAGCCACAGCCATTGCTAGTTCGAAAGATGCAAAGTGAATACTGGGTGCCTTTTTGTACAATCCTATTGGGACAATCAGGTCCACACTGACACCTCGAGTTGCATTCATAAATGGGGGTGCCAGGTGGGATTTTAATTTGTTGGTTTTTATTATAAGCCAAAAGAACTCCAGCTTCAGCAGGACAACATTTCTCAAAGAAGCAATCTGTACACGAACAACCAAAGGTAGCTTCATTGACTAAGCTGATTCCAGGAGCTGGTTTGTATTCATTAATGTAGTAGAAGTCTGAAGGTGGGCCCTCTAAGTCAACAGTATTTTCAACAAATATCATTCCTTTATGATTCTTTCTTCTGTTGAGTTCGTCTTGCCATCTCTGCAGAGCTAGCCTCTGTTTAGCCTTCTTTACAATGTACTCGGCAATGGCAGGTTTCAAAGCTTTGTTATTGTCTTTTATTGCTTTGCCTTTCTTTACCTGAGATAAATAATTATGCTTGTCATTAGAAAACTGCTGGAGGAGTAATGGGCACTTGAGATTTTGCAAAGGTTCCCAAGTATTTGTAGAATCTGGCCATCCTTTCCATTTTACAAGATAATATTCCATATCCTTAAAATATAAAAGAAAATTGAAATTAGATGACAGTCCCCATTAAAATAATTCACTATCTTAGAGAGTTAAGGCAGCTGTTATCATTCTAAATAAAGTTCAGAATATATTAAGAGCCAGAGGTTTCTAGATGAACTACAAAACATAAAAAAATATAAAACCATTTTTTCTTTGTATTACATAAAATATATACAGAATTTAGTTGTAGCACAGTATGTTTGAGCATAGGTAAAAGAATTGCACCTGAAGACAAAAGTACTGAAACTCAAGATATTTTACCAAACAGTGATTGTTAAACAAAAAAAAAGTATTTTATCTTAATCATAGAAACAGGGAGTCTTCAAACTAACAATTTATGACCTAGGTTAGCGCTTTACTTGGCCAGCACTGATGTAAGCATCCCCTGAGGTAGGTAATTTTAGTATTTTACACTGACAGAAGGCAAAGAAGGCAAACACTATTTCTCAGTATCATGGGCACACATCCCTTCGATGTTCTAGGGACATAACGTCCAATACAGTTATTCCTAGCTGCATGTAGCTATCAAGCACCTGAAATGTGGTGGGCCCAAACTGAGATGTGCTTTAAGTGTGTAGTACATACTGAGTTACAAATATCAAACACATACACAAAAAAGTAAAATATTTCTTCACGTGACACATATTGATTACATACTGAAATATTTTGGTTTTACTAAATATATTATTTTTTAAAGATTTATTTGCTCATTTATTTATAGTAATCTATGCCCAATGTGGGGCTCAAACTCACAATCTTGATATCCAGAGTCCCATGCTCTACTGCCTGAGCCAGCGAGGTGTGCAATCTCACTTGTTTCATTTTACTTGTTTAATATGGTTACTAAAAAATTTAAAATGACATATATGTAGCTTACATTGTTTTTATTAGACATCACGATTCCAGAGAATTCTCACCTTATTTAGACTCACCCATGAATGGATTAGGAAGCAGGCACTGAAGCCACCAAAGATCAAATATTTTGATTTATCCCTCAGACTGCTGTTGTGGCCACCATGGTACCTAGAATTTTGCCTTCTTACCCCAGTGACTTGACTCTGTTTTCTTTCCTTAAAATTGGGGAATGCCATGTTAAGTTTCTCTTTAAAAAGGTAGTCAAGTGTGCATAATAAAAAAAAAACTTCGAGGGGCACCTGGGTGTCTCAGTGGGTTAAACATCCGACTTGATTTCGGCTCAGGTCATGATCCCAGGGTTGTGAGACTGAGCCCCGTGTCTGGCTACAAGCTGAAAGCAGAGCCTGCTGAAGATTCTCTCTCCCTCTGCCCTTCCCCCACCTGTGCTCTCTCACACTCTCTCTCAAAAATAAAACAAAAAATTCTGAAGTCCTTCAATTTTTTCTTTGTCCTCTGGAATATGTCCACACTCTAAAATATGAAAGTGATTAAATTGTATTCTCCAGTTTTTAGTTATTTTAAATCATCGATATGGATTAAATTTGCTTTTCCTTGAAATTTTTAACAAAGTTTTTACTATAAAAGGGTGCATACGACACTTGTTTTACTATCCATAATTTATTAATGCCAAATAACCTGGATGGCCTAGGAAATGTTGCAGAGGCACAAACTGGGGTGAGGACCACTGAGGCAGCTTTGCAGGAGCAAGTCGCTTAGCCAGTGAGTAAGCAAATTTTCTCCCCACTGAGTCGTTTCAATGTTTTATTACATTCTACTCGGTAAGCAATACTGCTGGTGAATTAAAAGAACTTTCCTTCTTATGAAAATGGTCAAAATATGCTTTACCTGTTTAAAAAATGTGGTTAAAGTGTGAGGATATGCACAAAAACTGTACTTTCATGGAAATACATATTGTGATTTCAGGGAAAAAAGAAAAGCTTAGACATATATTTAAGTGTTAGTCGAACTGGCAAAGTGTAACACAGATTTCTCCCTCCTGCCAGGTAACTTTTACAATTTAGGATTTACGTTGGCAGATATCCGCTCGACAATGATGGGATCCACGTGGCAGTAGCTAACGTATACCTATTTTCCTTATTAATTAGGAAAGCTTTTAATTTTTCTGACTCCAGAATAAAGCAATGCAACTCTGGTCCTCTTTTCTTCCTACTACACTTTTTCCTACAATAACCCTGGAAGTTGTCAGCAAATGATGAAAGAAACAGAAACACTGGCTTCAAATCAGATGATTAAGCTCAATTATCATTCAGCAAAACTAGTAACACCACTGAAGTGGGCTCCAAATTAACATATTGTATTGTTTAATAATGAGCCAGATGCATTGTTAGTGATTAAGTTTTGCATGTTAATCACATTGATACTTACTTAATTTATAGATGGTAAAGATGTTTATAAAACAAAAGTGCCTTTGGCAAAATAGTAGAGAAATATTAGTGATATTTTATTTCTACTTCATACTTATTTTAGTAAGTATATTTTACTTTGCAATCCAAAAAAGATATTTGTTTTGAAGAACTGATAAATTTTACACAGAAAAATTAGTATGTACGGCTTAACAAATTTAATTCAATATGCTAAAGTTCCAAATAAAGCCCAAAAGTTCATTAAGCCTCATATATTGTATCAGTATCTTATTCTGACACGCAATCAACTCTTGATTACCCATAGAAATGGAGTACAGTTGTAAAAATGATACATAAATCACTCCTGTATAATTTAGAATGCATCATATGAATTTTTTCTTAAAGACATTTTCCCCCACTATGTTTGGCTTAGGTTAAATTCATTCAAGTATTTTAGTATTTAAAATAAGTATGTGCAAGTTCAGCCACCAGGGGGTATGATGAGACGTAAGGTAGTGCTAGCCTTTAGGAGTAAAAGCTCACTGGGAAAAGAAGGCAGTAATATGTCAAGTAAGTAGCAATGCAAGGCAGTACAATTTTAAATGCCAAAACAAGACAATAATTACCACTAGAATATAGAGAGGGAAATCAATATAGTCAGAAAAGAGCACAGAGCAAACAGAACTAAACTGTGAAAGACTGATAGGATTTGTTGGGTAGGGAACAGGGCAGGCAGGATGAAAACCACCAGCAAAAACTAGGAGCTAAGATCTGTATGAAGTATTCAGAAAGCAGTGAAGAGATGGATTTGGCTAGCTTTAAAGTTCAGAATATTGAAGTGAGAGATTAAACTGTAATGGCAAGGTGAGAACAAATCTTAGCCTTGAATATTTGATGGAGGCATTTGAACTTTTTTTGTAGGCCAATAGTTTTTACAATTCTTACAAAACATGGTGTTTCTGTGGGGAGTTTCATTACATACAAATACATTTGGTTTCCATCGTGTTTATTAGGAACAATTTATCAGTCTTCTCATTGCCAAGCCAAAGACTCTACAAGCCCTCATGTTACTTGACTTAGGCTTTGATACCACATTTCTCTCTTCACTATTGTTCCTTTTCTGCCTTCTCTGCTGAGACTATTGTCCCCGCCCATCACTTAGTGCAGATACTTGAGGCTCTGTCCTTGGCCCCTTTTCACACCAAGTAAGCGTTTGTCCCTTTTGAAAATCTGAAGAAAGCGATGGACCTTCCCCTAACAAAGTCACATATGCAATATTTTGGATAATTGAGGATATGTGGATTCCAGATTTAAGGTTAAGAATCCTTGCTCTAAATGCTCTCTGGGCAACCTCATCACTCCAACAGTTTTAATTACATGCTAATAACTCCCAAAATTTTTCCTGCACCTCCATATATCCAAGAGCCTACTGGATGCCCAACAGCTTCTTAAATCCATCTATTTCCATGGAACCCACCACTGTTCTTTCAAAATGGATTTTTTTCTTTTCCTCATCAAGGGTAATCTTATCATCTACCCAGTCACATGAGTTGCAAACTAGGAGCTCAATCTAGATTGTTCTCAATCCATCATCAAGTTTCTTCAGATACTTGTTCCTGTCCATCTCTTTACCATAGCTCTAGTTACTTAAGGTCTTCAATTCTTGCTGGGATTATTACATTAATCTCCTAACTGGTTTCTCTGCCTCCAGACTGACAACATCCCAATTTATCATTACTGAAGTTTTCTTACAAAAATAAGAAATCCACAGTACCAGTCATTCTGTTACTTTCTTCCTTAAAAATTTTAATTGCTCCTCCACTGCCTCAAGAATGAAGTTCACACTTCCTATTATAGCAAAGAAGATCATTCTTGACTGAGTCCCTGATATCTCTCTGACAGTCTTCCATTATAACCCCATTTACATACCACCCTCTAGCCATACTAACTGCAGCTAGTACTTGAACATGCCAGTCCTCTTCACCCCTTTCTGCTTTGTTCACAAAGTTCTGATTACAATGACCTCTTCCATTTCCATAATGAGCGTATTTTGGTTTCATTTTTTATGTGTAGAAAAATCTACTCATCTTTAGAAGTCAGCTCAAATGTCCCCCTGTCCCTGCCCATGAAGTCTTTCCTTCCTCTCTTGCCCAAGAAGAACTGATCACTGCCAATCTCCTTGTGTTTCCATTTCTAATCTTAACCAGAAACTATGAGGGATGAAATCTTCTTCGTAGCCACAGAACCAAGCACAATTGCTTGCTGTATCTTAAGCTCTATTAAATGTTTCTGAATGCATAACAAAAAGTAGGACTATCAACATGTATGCAATTAAAAAAAATCACAACAGTAACTACATATGAATCTTTAAAAGAAATAAAAGCTGCTAAATTTAATCTGGGTTGTTTTTCAAATGTATATACTGGAGGACAAAAAACAAAAGCTATCCTCCCATTAGCTACTTTCTTCTGCAAGTTTTGAAATCATCATATTCAATGTTAGTGGTAGAATAGCCTGAGTCTAATTATGAAAACACTAGTGTTCCATGGAAACTCAGTGGCTTTTCATGCCAGTAACTGACCAAGTAGCAATTCTCAGACCTGGGTTAGTGGTCGAAGACGGACACAACTGAGCAACACAACCCTGGAAAAGTCCTTTCCTGGAGCTTTGTTTTCCTGATCTCCAAAATATGGGTTTTAGTCA